CCCTCCCCTGCTCGCTCACACCTCATTCCAGGCAACAGTTCTGCAGACACCGTTCTCACAACTGCTTCACACTAAAGCGGCATGACAGAGAAAGTCTCCGGAAATCTTTTTATTTTTTTTCTTGAGTTGAAGTCTTGCACTGTCGCTAGGGCTGGAGTGCAGTGGCAGAATCTTGGCTCACCGCAACCTCCGCCTCCCAGGTTCAAGTGATTCTCCTGCCTCAACCTTTCGAGTAGCTGGGATTACAGGTGCCCACCACCACACCCAGCTAATTATTTGTATTTATTTATTATTATTATTTTTTTAGTAGAGATGGGGTTTCACTATGTTGGCCAGGCTGGTCTTGAACTCCTGACCTCATGATTCACCCGCCTTGGCCTCCCAAAGTGCTGGGATAACTCATTCCTTTTCCTCTGTATATTTACATCTTAAGAGGAAACACTTTCAACCAGGCATGGTGGTTCATGGCTGTAATCCCAGCAGAGGCAGGAGGATTGCTTAAGTCTAGGAGTTCCAGGCCAGCCTGGGCAACACAGCAAGAACCCCATCTCTTAAAAAACAAAACAAAACAAAAAAAAACAAAAAGAAAAAAAAAGAAAAAAAAAGAGGGGCCAGGCATGCTGGCCTGTAATCCAAGTTCTTTGGGAGGCCAAGGTTGGGGACCATTGCAGTGGGAGACTCTTATCTCAAAATAAATAAATAAATAAATAAATAGACTCTATCTCAAAATAAATAAATAAATAAATAAATAAAAATTGGCCGGGCGTGGTGGCTCACGCCTGTAATCCCGGCACTTTGGGAAGCCAAGGTGGGCAGATCATGAGGTCAAGAGATCAAGACCATCCTGGCCAACATGGTGAAACCCCATCTCTACTAAAAATACAGAAAAATGGATTGCGGACAACTTCAGGAATTTCTTCTGACATTTGACGAACTGGATTAAAATAATTTGGTGATAGGGGACACTACTGTTTGCTGTGCAAAGGGTCAAATGGCCTTTTAGACACTCTCCCCTCTGGGATAGCCCAGCCCTGCCCAGCCCCTCTGCCCTGAGGTCGGGTTGATGCTGGGACCTGCTTTTCCATCCCCCACTCTCTCATTTCACTCCAAGTCCCAAGCCTCCTTTACACCCTGTCTTCCATCCACTGCAAACAATCTGCCTGTGACTGCTGTTTCCTCTCTCTGCCACTTGAACAGGAGGCTGCTAGGAGCCGTCTGCTCCAACGAGGAGAACCAATGACTCTCATTTGTGGGGTGCTCCTTGTCTTCACCTCGAGTTTCATTTCAAGCCCTTTGGATAGTTCCCCTTTTTTCTTTTGAGACCAAGTTCTCCCACTGTCAGCCAGGCTGGGATGCAATGGCATGATCATAGCTCACTTCAGCCTCAACCTCCCAAGTCTCAAGCGATCCTCCTGCCTCAGCCTCCCAAGTAGCTGCAATCACAGGCACAGGTCACCATGCCCAGATGATTTTTGTATTTTTTGTGGAGATGGGGTCTTGTCACATTGCTCAGGCTGGTCTTCAACTCCTGAACTCAAGCAATCCACCCACCTCGGTCTCCCAAAGTGCTGGGATTCCAGGCATGAGCCACCGTGCCCGGTCCTATGAGAGGGCATCTGAGCAGAGACTGGGACAAGGTAGAGTGTGAGCCATGTGGATATCAAGGGAAAAATATCCAGAAAGATAGGAGAGACTTGCAAGGGACATGAGCTCTGTGTGGGCTGGATATGTCTGTTGAGTGAATAAATTCCTGGGGGGTTTTGGGCTATGGCTTGGCTGTGGCTTGCCACTGAGAAAGTTCTTTTTTTGTTTTTTTTTTTTTGAGTTGCAGTCTTGCTCTGTCGCCCAGGCTGGAGTGCAGTGGCATGATCTTGGTTCACTGCAATCTCTGCCTCCCAGGTGCAAGCAATTCTCCTATCTCAGTGTCCGGAGTAGCTGGGACTACAGGCACGAGCCACCATTCCTGGCTAATTTTTGTATTTTTAGTGGAGATGGGGTTTCACCATGTTAGCCAGGCTGGTCTTGAACTCCTGACCTCAAGTGATCCACCTGCCTTGGGAAAGTTCTTTTTAAATTTCAGTTTCACATTGGTCCTTTCAATAGAGGACTAGGCTGTGAGCCAGGCCATCGGGACAGGCTGTCTGCTTTCCCACAGGTGTGGGTAGGCTGCAGGGACTGTGTTGCTAGGACCAGAAATGGCTTCTTGAGGCAGGTGCTGCATTTGTTTCTGGGGCTGCTGTAGCAAGATACCATCAACAGGGTGGCTCAAACCATGGGAATTTATGGTCTCACAGTTCAGGAGTGCTGGGATGACAGGCGTGAGCCAAGGATTCCGTTTCCTTGAAAGTGACTCATGCTTAGCTTGCTTTCCTCCCTCCCTCCCTCTCTCCCTTCCTCCCTTTCTTTCCTTCTCTGTCTCTCTCTCTCTTCTTTCTTTCTGAGACAGAGTTTTGCTCTTGTTTCCCAGGCTGGAGTGCCATGGCGCCATCTCGGCTCACCACAACCTCCACCTCCCAGGTTCAAGCGATTCACCTACTTCAGCCTCCCAAGTAGCTGGGATTACAGGCATGCGCCACCATGCCCAGCTAGTTTTGTATTTTTAGTAGAGATGGGGTTTCTCCATGTTGGTCAGGCTGGTCTCGAACTCCCGACCTCAGGTGATCCACCTGCCTCAGCCTCTGAAAGTGCTGGGATTACAGGCGTGAGCTACTGCGCCCGGCCCGCTCGGCTTCCTTCTCAGTCATTTCACTCTCTCCCTGGTTTGGTAACCGAACCCTTCTGAAATGAACCAGTGTTAGGCTCCAGTGAGGACTCCATCCCTAGTTCAGGAAGCACAGAGGTGGAGCATATTCCCCTGGAGTTGTTGAAGTGCAGCTGACTTCTCTCAAGGTTGTGTGCCTGTTTTGGAAAACTTTTGTTTGCAAGACAACGTGAAAGAAATCCTTGAAGCACACAGAGGGCCACGTGGATGTTACATTCTGGCCATTGGTTCCCCAAGAAAACAGCAACCTCTAGAAAGCAAGTCAAATTTGTCAGCGCAATCCAGGAACAGTCCTTGGAGTCTGATAAGTTTAAGAGCGGTCATGGGAAGTCATTCAGAGGACTGAAGCAGAGGAACAGGTCAGAGGGGCCTACCTCCCAAAGGAAAGATGGAGAAGAACCATCCCCCCACTGCCCCCTCCTGGGCTGCTCAGCTGAGCACAGAAGCAGCCAGGGATATTTTAATTCAGATGCTCAAAGTTGACTAAGTTGCCACATGAGGATGATCTGCATTGATTTTCCACCTGGAGGCAACGCGGGACAGTGCGTGTAAACAGGTCTGCAGCTCCAGGACTGGGTTTTCAGATGGTTTTTCTACCCTGGTGTCTAATGCATGCACCACAGACAGCAGTGGAACCCATAATGAGGTTCCAGAAGGTTTTACTGCTAAATTCGTGTCAGAGCTCCAGGGAACACGTTCAGATATAGTCACACTGAGTCAGAGCTCGAGGGAAGAGCTGTAAGCTGGGAATGAGAGAAATGGTGACAAGGCAGCGGCCTCTTCTGGCAGCTTCCAGAGGAGTCCTCAGTTAATGTGGCATCATCGCTTGAGGCAGGACGTAACGCTTACCTGGCACTTAGGATGTTACGGTCACTGATCCCAGTATTCTACAAAAACAATCCTCATAGCAATGGAGGTAATTTTGATGTAGGGGCTGGGTTTTTTCGGTTTTTTTTTTTTGGAGACAGAGTCTCGTACTGTTGCCCGGGATGGAGTACAGTCGCCTGACCTCCACTCACTGCAACCTCTGCCTCCCAGGTTTAAACAATTCTCGTCCTCAGCCTTTCGAGTAGCTGGCATTACAGGTGCATGCCAACACGCCTGACTAATTATTTTTCGTAGAGACAGTTTCACCATGTTGGCCATGCTGGTCTTGAACTCCTGACCTGGTGATCCACCTGCCTTGGCCTCCCAAAGTGCTGGGATTACAGGCATGAGCCACCGTGCCTGACCGCCCCCTCCCTTTTTTTTTTTTTTTTTTTGAGACTCCCACTCTGTTGCCCAGGCTGGAGTGCAGTGGCGAAATCATAGCCTCCTGGGTAGGTGGGACTACTATCCTGGTGAGGGCGCACGGTGGGAGTGTCTCGTTATGTTGCCCAGGAAGGTCTCCAGCTCCTGGGTTCAAGCAGTCCTCCCGCCTCAGCCTCCCAAAGTGCTGGGATTACAGGAGGGCACCACTGTGCCTGATCAAGGTAGGGTTTATTATTTTTCCAATGTTACTGATGAGAAAACCGAGTTCCAGAGAAGTTGGTGACTTTGCTCAAGGTCACAGACAGCTGGGACTTGAATTTAGGCAGCCTGGCCACAGAACCACACCACCAACCACTATGCTATACTGCGTTTTGTGAAATGACAGATGGCTGTATGATGCAATGTAAGCATATGGCAGAGTTCCGTGCTCAGGATATAAAAAGGAGTGTGTGTTGCCTTTCATGGTCATCTCTTGAGTTCTAGCTTATGACCTGAACTATTTTTTCCAGAGACCCTTCCTTCTCCCACTGGGAAAGATATGGTATTTGACACCTGAATAAAAAGTCTTTAAGACACCAGTTTATGGGGCTGTTCAGAATCTGTGGCTGGGTGCAGTGGCTTATGCCTGTAATCCCAGCGCTTTGGGAGGACAAGGCAAGAGGACTGCTTGAGGCCGGGAGTTCAAGACCAGCCAGGTCTACATAGTGAAAGCCCATCTCTACAAAGAAATTTAAAAATTAGCTTGGCATGATGGCACACACCTGTAGTCCCAGCTACTCAGGAGGCGAGATGGGAGAATTGCTTGAGCCCAGGAGTTCGAGGCTGCAGTGAGCCTGGGTGACAGAGTGAGACCTCATCGATTAAAAAACAGAAGAAAAGAGAAGAAAAGAAAAAAGAATTTGTGTTGAGTGGGATTGGAGAGTTGAAACAAGGACCGAGAGGTTGTCCAAGACCGTTTTCAAGGCTGAGAAACAAGACTCCATTCTGGGTCAGCTGCAGTCTAACTTTATTCATCCGCTCACACCTGGGTCCCTCCCGGCCCCCACCTGCCCTAGCCGTGCTTACTGAGGGCTTCCCAACAACCCAAGATGGGACGTCAGGGTGGCTTTGCTTATCCTCCAGATGCCTCCTTTTCCGGATGTGACCCAGGCCCTCCAGGACCTACGGGAGGAGGACTAAAGGGGTCTGTTCCCAGGCAGCAGACATGGAACCATCTGTGTCAGTGGCTGCTTGGTGGTGATGGTGTAGATGGGTGCGGCTCTCTGTTTGCTGGGGGGTATTCAGCCAGGATGTAGAGGAAGCCACCCAGGGCTGCCACCGCTGTGGCTGTGTTGTGGGAGGAGCAGCCATCTATGGGGAGAGAGGCCCCTGTGAGTGCCGGTGGCAAGAACCTTGCCCCTTTATTCAACACAGTTCCACTGAAAGTGCTGTTCAGCCAGGTGCGGTGGCTCACACCTGTAATCCCAGCACTTTGGGAGGCTGAGGATGGCAGATCGCAGATCACTTGATATCAGGAGTTCGAGACCAGCCTAAGCAACATGGTGAAACCCCATCTCTACTTAAAAATACAAAAATTAGCTGGGTGTGGTGGCGGGTGCCTGTAATCCCAGCTCCTTGGGAGGATGAAGGAAGAGAATTGCTTGAACCCAGGAGGCAGAGGCTGCAATGAGCTGAGATTGCACTATGGCGCTCCAGTCTGGGCGACAGAGCGAGACTCCATCGCAAAAAAAAAAAACAAAAACGTGCTTTTCAGAGCGAGACTCCATCGCAAAAAACAAAAACAAAAACGTGCTTTTCAGATATCATTCCAGGCAATTTGCAAGATGCTGTGTGAGTGCTTTGATGCTCCCTTAGGCCCCCTTTGCCGGGCCGAGTCCTCTTCCACCAGCTGCTAAGGGCTCCCTTCTCTGGGAGGTATGTCCCTTCCAAATAACTTACAAATATAGGGATAAAAAAGCCTGGCCACCTTGTCCTAGGGGGATGACTCTGTTGTGCAATTTATGCTCCGAGGCATTCCCCTCCACTCCTGCAGTGGGATCTGGCCTGAGGCTGCATCCCATCTAGCTCCTGCCTGGGTTAGTCTGCTTCCCTGACTTACCTACCTCGGTAAACCACAGGCACTGGAATCCTGTCTCATCTGAGATGGGAAAACTGAGGCTTGGAAAGCTGAACTGAGCTCCCTGGCCCTGGTAACTCCCCAGCTCATTTCTTGACCCCAGTGGCTTCCTCTTAGCTGCCTCTGGTCTTTCTAGTCCCATGTGACCTCATGGAGTCAGTCTCAGGCCTAAGCACTTGCCTGAGATAATAACCCTCAGATGTAGTTAGTTCTTTGAACTCAAAGTGGGCAGCATGCCTTTAGTCTTACCATCTGTCTGCTTGTGGGAGGGAGCCAGGAATTCTTTCCCCACTACCCAGACACTTTGAGAAGGGGAGGGGACCCCAGCCAGGTCCCTTGAAGGAAGGGAGAATGCAGATTTCAAGGTGCCGAATGACTAACCCTGGCAGTTACTGCCTCTCGGTGGCTACTGTGTGGCAAATTCGGCGGTGAGGGCTTTGCACAATGATCAGTTATTAGCCCCAACAGTTTGGTGCCCATTTGACAGATGACGGAGTCTTGCTCTGTCGCCTAGTCTGGAGTGCAGTGATGCAATCTCGGCTCACTGCAACCTCCGCTTCCTGGGTTCAAGTGATTCTTCTGTCTCAGCCTCCCGAGTAGCTGGAACTACAGGCGTGCCACCACACTCGGCTAATTTTTGTATTTTTAGTCCAGATGGGGTTTCACCATATTTGCCAGGGTGGTCTTGAGCTCCTGACCTCAATTGGTCCACCTGCGTTGGCCTCCCAAAGTGCTGGGATTACAGGCGTGAGCCGCCGCACCCAGCCTGGTTGTGTGACTTTCACAGCAAGTAAGAGGCAGAAGCGGGACTTGAACCTACACAGACTGACCTCAGACCCTGTGCTACTAGTCTCTGCGCCAGCTGCCTCTTGCTCTGGGGGCATGTGTCATAAGTACAAGAATGAGCACACCACTCCCCAGCAGTTTTCTAGGCTGCTGGTCAACCTGGAGGGGCCCCCACGAAAGGCCTGGGACTCTGGAATTTCTGCAGCTTCTGCTCCAGTCCGTAGGACAGTCCTCATGTTAGGCCGTCTGGCTCTGGGGACAGGCAGCTGACCAGGTAGTACACAGCAGGTCCTGACCACCCCACCCATAGGCAGCCCCAGCTTCCTCTGTGTCTGGGGGGCCTAGCCCGGGCAGAGGGCTCTGGAAGTCTACTGAGAACTTCTCTCCCTTCGCCTGCATGACCTTTGGTGGCAGCTACAAAACTGATCGATTGGATTCTGCTTTCACTCTTCACTCCTGTCCACCTGTAGGTGGATGATGAGGCCACAGTGGGGCTGATCGAGAGATGTTTAGTCACGGGAATCAGATACCCACATGTGCTGGACATCTAATCTATGAGCTGGCTATTCTATATCCCTTCCTGCTTTTGCCTGCAGTTATTGATATTTTATTATTATGATTTTTGATACAGAGTCTCATTTTGTCACCCAGGCTGGAGTGCATTGGTGTGATGTCAGCTCACTGTAGCCTCTGCCTCCTGGGTTTAAGTAATTCTCATGCTTCAGCCTCCCAAGTGGCTGGGAATACAGTTGTGCACCACCATGCCCTGATAAGGTTTGTATTTTTAGTAGAGACGGGGTTTTGTCATGTTGCCCAGGCTGTCTCCCCACTTTCTTTTTTTTTTTTTTTTTTTTTTTGAGACGGAGTTTCGCTGTTGTTGCCCAGACTGGAGTGCAATGGCACGATCGCGGCTCACCGCAACCTCCGCCTCCTGGGTTCAAGCAATTCTCCGGCCTCAGCCTCCCGAGTAGCTGGGACTACAGGCACGCACCATCATCCCCAGCTAATTTTTGTATTTTTAGTAGAGACGAGGTTTCACCTTGTTGACCAGGATGGTCTCGATCTCTTGACCTCGTGATCCACCCGCCTCGGCCTCCCAAAGTGCTGGGATTACAGGCTTGAGCCACCGCGCCCGGCCTGTCTCCCCACTTTCTAAGAGGAGGCCATCAGGGACCCCTAGCCTCCCTTCCGCCTCCCAAACATGAAGGCCCTCTGATTAGTGCCTCTTTGGTGAGGCCAGGTGCTGTTTATCCATAGCAAAGAATAAACACAGGCCTTTGTTTTGCTGGGATATCTCAGTTTCATGTCAAGAAACTCCCTTGGGTATCTTCATTACCTGTAAATTTTTTTTCTCGCCTCTTCACTCTCCTCAAAAAATGCTGCTGATACTGAATAGCTTTTGATAATTCTTCATCTTCAGCATCTGGGAAAAGAGCAAAAGTTGAACTTCTCAAGATAAATTTTATTTTTTTACATTTTTATTTCTTTTTGCTTCTTTATTTTAGAGACAGGGTCTCATTCTGTTGGCCAGGCTGGGTTCAGTGGCACAATTACAGCTCACTGCAGCGTCAAACTCCTGGGCACACACTATCCTTCCTGCCTTAGCCTACCAAATTGCTGGGACGACAGGCATGAACCACCGTGTCCAGCTAATTTTTAAAAAAAGTTTTACAGGGCACAGTGGCTCACGCCTGTAATCTCAGCACTTTGGGAGGCCAAGGTGGGCAGATCACCTGATGTCAGGAGTTCAAGACCAGCCTGACCAACATGGAGAAACCCCATCTCTGCTAAAAATACAAAATTAGCTGGGTCTGGTGGCACATGCCTGTAATCCCAGCTACTTGGGAGCCTGAGGCAGGAGAATTGCTTGAACCCAGGAGACAGAGGTTGTGGTGAGCCAAGATTGTACCATTGCACTCCAGCCTGGGCAACAAGAGTGAAACTCCATCTCAAAAAAATATATATATTTTTTGTTAGAGATAGGCTCTTGCTATGTTGCCCAGGCTGGTCTTAAACTCCTGGGCTCAAGTGCTCCTCTAGCCTGGGCCTCCCAAAGTACTGGATTATATGTGTGAGCCACTGCAACTAGTCTCAAGGTAAATTTTTAAATGTTACTCACTAAACCTCCTGCCCCCACACCATTTCAAGGAAGTTAGGTCTTCTCTTGAAACTTGAGGCTATCCCAGAAGTTTCCACCTGCACCTTCCTTCAGATCCTTTTGCATGGTCTAAACGTCATCTACTGATGTTTTTCCAAATTGTGGTTCCCCAAACACCCACCATCAGAACCACTGGAGGTGCTTGTTAAAAATTTAAGTCCCTCCAAGATAAGCAAAAACTGAGGGGATTTATCACCACCAGACTGGCCTTATAAGAAGTGCTCAAGGAAGTCCTACATCTGAAAAGAAAAAGACAATAATCATTATCATGAAAACATGAGAAAGTATAAAAGTTACTGGTAGAGGAGAAAGAGAACGGAGAAGGAGAAAAGATGCAAAACTATCACTAGAGAAAAGCACCAAACAGCAATGATAACAATAAGAAAGGAAGAAAAAATTCAAAGGATATAGAAGATAACCAGAAAACAATGAATGAAATGACAGGAGTAAGTCCTCACATGCCAATAATAACCTTCAATGCAAATTGATTAAATTTCCCACTTCAAAGATATATAGACTAGCTGAATGAGTGAAAAAACATGACCCAACTATATGCTGCCTACAAGAAAGCTGCTTCACTGGTAAAGACACATATGGAATGAAAGTGAAAGGGTAAGAAAAGATCTTTCACATAAATGGAAACCAGAAGGGAGAAGGAGTAGCTATACTTAGATAAAACACACTTTAAGTCAAAGACTGTAAAAAGAGACAAGGTCATTATATAATGATAAAGGAATTAATTTAGCAAGAGGACATAACAATTCTAAAAATATATGCATTAAACACTGGAGAACCAAAGCAAATGTTATTAGATATAAAGGGAGAGACAGACTGGAATACAGTAATACCTGGGGACACCAACACCTTGCTCTCAGCATTGAACAGATCATCTAGACAGAAACTCAACAAAGAAACACTGAATTTAAACTGCGCTTGAGGCCAAATGAATCTAACAGACATTTACAGAACATTTTATCTTTAACTGCTGCAGAATATATATTCTTCTCATCAGCACATGGAACGGTCTCCAAAATAGACCATACGTTAGGCCAAAAAACAAGTCTCAACAAATTTAAAAAATTTAAATTATAGAAAAGTATCTTCCTGACCACAATGGAACAAAACTAGAAATCAATAACAAGAGGACCTTTCAAAATTGTACAAACACAGGGAAAATAAACAACATGTTCCTGAATGACCAATGGGCAAATGAAGAAATTAAGAACATTTAAAAATTTCTTAAATGAAAATAGAAACACGATATGCCAAAACCCATGGGTTATAGGAAAAGCAGTATTAAGAGGGGAGTTTACATCAATAAATGCCTACATGAAAAAAGCAGAAATATTCAAATAATGAACTAATGATACATCTCGAAGAACTAGAAAAGCAAGACCAAATTAAGCCTGAAATTAGAAGGAAAGAAATTGTAGAGATCAGAGCAGAAATAAATAAAATCAAGACTAAAGAAACAATACAAAAGATCAATGACACAAAAAATTGGTTTTCAAAAAAGATCAACAAATAGATACATTATTAGCTAGATTAAGACAAAAAGAGAAGAGACTCAAGTAAATAAAATCACAAAGAGAAAGAAAATATTACAACTGATACCACTGAAATACAAAGGATCATTAGAGATTATTATAAACAACCAATTTGAAAACCTACTGGAAATGGATAAATTCCTGGACACACACAACATGCCAACATTGAACCAAGAAGTAACAGAAAACCTGAACAAACTGATTATGAGTAATGAAGTAATGAGATTGAATGTGTAATAAAAAGTCTCCAAGAAACAAAAAACCCAGGACCTAACAGCTTTATTGCTGAATTTTACCAAATATTTAAAGAACAAATACCAATTCTTTTCAGTCTCTTCCGGAAAATTGAAGAGGAGAAAGTTTCCAAATTCATTTTATAAGTTCAGCATTACCCAAAGGTAATGCTGACAAGGACACAACTACCAAAAAAAATCATAGGCCAATTTTCCTGATGAACCTAGATATAAAAATCCTTAACAAAATACTACGAAACCAAACCAAACCCAGCAACACATTAAAAATCATTCACAGCTTTCCTACTCTGACCACTTCCAGTAAGTAAATGAATGTTTTGGATTTAAAAAAATCATTCATCATGAAAAAGCAGGCTTTATTACAGGGATGCAAGGATGGTTCAACATATGCAAATTAATAAATATGATACAATACACCAATAGAATGAAAGACAAAAATTGTAAAATCATCTTAATAGGTACAGAAAAAGCATTTCATGAAATTTAACTTCCCTTCATGATAAAAACTCTCAACATGTTAAATGTAGAAGAAACATATCTCTCTTTTTTTTTTTTTTTTTTTTTTTTTTGGAGACAGAGTTTCACTCTTGTTACCCAGGCTGGAGTGCAATGGCACGATCTCGGCTCACCGCAACCTCCGCCTCCTGGGTTCAGGCAATTCTCCTGCCTCAGCCTCCTGAGTAGCTGGGATTACAGGCATGCACCACCATGCCCAGCTAATTTTTTTTTGTATTTTTAGTAGAGACGGGGTTTCACCATGTTGACCAGGATGGTCTCGATCTCTCTACCTCGTGATCCACCCGCCTCGGCCTCCCAAAGTGCTGGGATTACAGGCTTGAGCCACCGTGCCCGGCCAGAAGAAACATATCTCAATGTAATAAAGATCAATATGACAAACCCAGAGCCAACATTATACTGAATGAGGAAAAGGTGAAAGCTTTTCTTCTAAGACTGGAACAAGACAAGAGTGCCTACTTTCATCATTTTTATTCAACATAGTACTAGAAGTCCCAGCCAGAGCAATTAAGCAAGATAAACAAAAAAATGGCATCCAAATGAAAAAGGGGGAAGTCGAATTGTGCCTGCTTGCAGATGACATGATCTAATAGGCAGGAAACCCCAAAAGCTCCACCAAAAAAACTTCTTAGAACTGATAAATGAATTCAGCAAAATTGCAGAATATAAAATATACAAAAAACAAAAAACAATACACCCAGTAGCATTTCTATACACCTACAGTAAACTAGCAGAAAAAGAAATGAAGAATGCAATCCTATTTATAAGAGCTAAAAACAAAATACCCAGGAATAAATTTAACCAAGGAGGTGAACGATCTCTACAAGGAAAGCTGTAAAGGATACCGATGAAAGAAATTGAAGAGAACACACACATAAAAATGAAAAGACATTCCATGTTTATGGGTTGGAAGAATTGAAATTGTGAAAATATCCATACTACCAGAACTAATCTACAGATTGAATCAAAATACCAATGACATTCTTCACAGAAATAGAAAAAAAAATCCTAAAATTTGTATAGAACCACAAAAGACCCCAAATAGCCAATGAAATCCTAAGAATAAAGAACAAAGCTGGAGGCATCACGTTACTGGACTTCAAAATACACTTCAAGGCTATAGGAAACACGTGTGGCAGCTCATGCCTACAATCCCAGGACTTTCAGAGGCCAAGGTGAGCAGGTCACTTGAGGCCAGGAGCTCAAGACCAGTTTGGCCAACATGGAGAAACCCTGCCTCTACTAAAAATACAAAAATTAGCCAGGCGTGGCGGTGGGCACCTGTAATCCCAGCTACTCGAGAGGCTGAGGCAGGAGAATCGCTTGAACCCAGAAGGTGGAGGTTGCAGTGAGCCGAGATCACGCCATTGCGCTCAAGCCTGGACAATAAGGGCAAAACTCTGTCTCAAAAAACAAAAACAAAAATAATTCCAAACAAAATGGCAAATGAGCTGCATAGACATCTCTCAAAAGAAGGTATACAAATGGCCAACAGGTCTGTGAAAAATGTTCACCATCCCTAATCATCCGGGAAATGCAAATCAAACTACAACGAGATAGCATCTATCTCACACCTGTTAAAATGGCTACTATCAAAAAGACAAAAAATGGCTCACGCCTCTAATCCCAGCACTTTAGGAGGCCGAGGCTGGTAAATCTGGTAGATTGCTTTGAGCTCAGGAATTCAGGATCGGCCTGGGCAACATGGCAAAACCCTGTCTCAACAAAAAATACAAAAATTAGCCAGGTGTTGGTGGCTCCCTGCTGTTGCCTCAGCTGCTCAGGAGGCTGAGGCTGAGAATCTCTTGAACCTGGGAGGCAGAGATTTCAGTGAGCTGAGATTGTATCACTGCACTCCAGCCTGGGTGACAGAGTGAGACCTTGTCTCAAAAGAAGAAAAAAAAAGACAAAAAAAAAAAAAAAAAAGCAGATTCTGGCAAAGACGTAGAGAAAAGAAAACTCTTACACACTCTTGATGGGAAGGTAAATTAGTGCAGACATTACAGAAAACAGTGTGGCGATTTCTCAAAAAACTAAAAATAGAACTATCATGTAATCCAGCAATCCCACCACTGGGTATTTATCCAAAGGAAAGGAAATCCGTTTGCTGAAGAGATGTCTGCACCACCATGTTTACTGCACCACTATTCACGGTAGTCAAGATATAGCAACCTGAGTGTCTATCAGCAGATGAATGGATAGAGAAAACGTGGTATACAGACCCAATGGAATACTATTTAGCCATAAAAATAACCAAATTCTTTCATTCACAGCAACATCAGTGAACCTGGAGGACATTATGTTAATGGAAGTAAACCAGGCATGGAAAGATAAATATTGCATGTCCTTACACATATGTGGAGGCTAAAAAAGTTAATCTCATAGAAGTGGACTGTTGAGACCGGGTGCGCCGGCTCATGCCTGTGATCCCAACACTTTGGGAGGGCGAGGTGGGTGGATCTCAAGGTCAGGAGTTCGAGACCAGCCTGGCCAACATGGTGAAACCCTGTCTCTATAAAAATACAAAAATTAGCTGGGCATGGTGGTAGGGGAGTGTAATTCCAGCTACTTGGGAGGCTGAGGCAGGAGAATCGCTTGAACTCGGGAGGCAGATGTTGCAGTGAGCCGAGATCATACCTCTGCACTCCAGCCTGGCTGACAAAGTGAAACTCCATCTCTAAAAAAAAATAGAAGTAGAGTGTTGAATAGTGTTTACTAGAGGTGGGGAAGGGTATGGGGGAGAGGAGATAACCAGAGGTTGGTTAAGGGATGCACTAGTACTGCCCAAAGGAGAACTAAGTGCTACCGTTCCACAGCATTATAGGGCGATTGCAATTAACAACAATGTGTTTCGTGGTTTTTTTTTTTTTGGGACAGCGTCTCACTCTGTCACCCACACTGAAGTGCAGTCGTCGGTGGGGCAGTCATGGCTCACTGCAGCCTCCACCTCCAGCTGGGCTCGAGTGATTCTCCCACCTCAGGCTCCCAAAGTAGCTGGGATCATAGATGTGTGTCAGCACACCCAGCTCATTTTTTTTTTTGGATGTTTTTCGTAGAGACGGGGTTTTGCCTGTTGGCCAGGCCGGTTTCTAATTCTTGAGCTCCAGCTCAAACTGTCCACCTGCCTTGGCCTCCCAAAGTGCTGGGATCACAAGGCGTGAGCCTATTGTACATTTTCAGAAAGCCGGAAGAGCGAATTTGGAATGCTCCCAACACAAAGAAATGACAGATGTTTGAGGCGATGCATTTGCTCATTACGTATTATATACATACATGTTTTGAAATATCACACTGTACCCTATAAATATGTACTATTATTATGTCTATTGAGAATAATAATAAAGCCAGAAAAGGCAGGTTCCACAGCCCCATCCCCAACCTGCCGATGCTGTACATGTGGGGGCCTAAGATTCTTCATCGTATAAACTTTGTGGGGTTTTTTTTTTTTTTTTTTGAGACGGAGTCTCACTCTGTTGCACAGACTGGAATGCAATGGCACAATCTCGGCTCACTGCAACCTCCACCCCCCAGTTTCAAGCGATTCTCCTGCCTCCGCCTTCCGAGTAGCTGGGACTACAGGTGTGTGCCACCATGCCAGGCTAATTTTGTGTACTTTCAGTAGAGACGGGGTTTCACTGTGTTAGCCAGGATGGTCTTGGTGTCCTAACCTTGTGATCTGCCTGCCTTGTCCTCCTGGAGTGCTGGGATTACAGGTGTGAGCCACTGCACCTGGCCTAAACTCTGTTTTAAAAACAGACCATCTTATTTCAAAAGCTTTTGCTTCTTGGAGCATCCCAAGCTTGTAATGGGGACAATAGCATTTCCTGGGAGCTGTCCTGTACCTGGCACAGGCTGTGTGGCTTCAGATGTATCACTTCTACTCTCCTTGCAGCTCAGGAAGGTGGGTTATTATTATGCTCATTTATTTGCAGACAGGGACATTGAAGCTCAGAGGGGTTATTCCAAAGGGACCAGCTGCCAGGTGTCCCATGGCTAGGAATTGGCTGAGTCCTCTGCCTGTCTACCCTCTGCTATGTCATCTCCTCCCATGTAGTCTTTCCTGACCACCAACCTGGAGAACCTTCCTTGGTGTTCTTTTCTTCCTCACCCTGTGGTCTCCTTTATAACTCTTATCAGAACTTGCAATTACCTCACTTCTTGGTTTGTTCAGGTGATTTACGTTTCTTTTCCTCCAGGCTCTGGTTTTCCCTAGAGCCTAGACGGTATCTAGCACATGAGCAGGTGCTCAATATGTACTTGCTGAATGAATAGTGATAGGGTTTGGCTGTGTCTCCACCCAAATCTCATCTTGAATTACAGCTCCCGTAATTCCCACGTGCTGTGGGAGGGACCTCGTGGGAGGTAATTGATTCATGGGGGCTGTTTCTCCCATATGGTCTCCCATGTGGTTCTCATTAATAAGTCTCGCAAGATCTGAAAGTTTTTTTTTTTTTTTTTTTTTTTTTTTTTGAGATGGTGTCTTTTTTTATCATCCAGGCTGGAGTGCTGCAGTGGCGTGATCTCACCTCACTGCAACCTCCACCTCCTGGGTTCAAGTAATTCTCCTGCCTCGGCCTCCTAATTGAGACTACAGGCACACGCCACCACACCTGGCTAATTTTTTGTATTTTAGTAGAGACAGGGTTTCACCATATTAGCCAGGATGGTCTTGATCTCCTGACCTTGTGATCTGCCCGCCTCAGCCTCTCAAAGTGCTGGGATTACAGGTGTGAGCCACCACTCCCAGCTGAAATGATAGTTTTATAAGGGGTTTCCCTTTGTGCTTGGCTTTCATTCTGTCTTGTCTGCTGCTATGTAAGACGGGCCTTTCGCCTTCTACCAGGATTGTGAGGCCTCCCCAGCCACGTGGAACTGTGAGTCCATTAAACCTCTTTCCTTTACAAATTACCCAGTCCAGGGTTTGACTTTATCTGCAGCATAAAAGAGCGCAGTACAAATGGGCTTGCTAATGTAGCTGAAGGGACCAACGCCTTCCAATAGGACGGCCTCTTGTCTGGCCGCATTATGGCTTCCAAAACTCTGAGCTCATTTCCACCTGTGTGTGCACCTGCAGGTTACACATCTCTCAGCATCCTTAACACCAATGCATTGTTTCCACACCTGGCCTAGAAACTCAGCCCTGCTCCCCAGCCCCCACTGCCCCCACTCTTAGCCAGGGCGGCAGCACAGCTCACCAGGTTCCCCGAAGCAACCTTCCCGCTGTTTCTGCCAGCTGAGAATGGCGTCCAGCCACCGGAGCTTGTAGAAGTCGGAGAAGCCGCCCATTCCACAGAACATGACTGAAAGTAAAGATGGGGCCCTCTGCAGGCCTGCCCCCGAGGCCCACCTCCTCCCACTCCCCAGGGCTGCCATGGTGCCAGCTGCCTCCATCTGCCTGGGTTAGGCAGCACCAAGAGGTGAGCATTCAATGCAGGGGCTGGAAGAAGGCAGCTCCAGCCTTTGCCTGAGCAACTAGGGGCTCCCAGGCTTGTGTCCCACCTCCCACTGAGGGCCTTGGTCAGGGCTGCTCCAAAGTCAGGGCCAGTAGAGGGGTTTAGACACTCCAGCCAGCGAGCAGCCACCCTTTCTGTCTCATCCATAGGGCTTTGTGGGTCCGCCTGACAGTCACCTGGTCCATCTGTGTAGAGCTCCGTCACTGGGGCAGGAAGCTGTCACACAGTGGCAGGTAAAATAGGATGCCCAGTGACATTTGAGTTTTCAATAAACAATGAATATAATTTTTTAGTGTGAGTATATTCCATGCAATATATGGGATAAACTTCTACTAAAAATGGATTCACTGTGTATCTGAAGTTCAAATTTAACTGAGCACTCTGTATTTTTACTTGCCCAATCTGGCAACTCCGTGTGTGTGTGTGTGTGTGTGTGTGTGTTTGTGTTGGTGCGGGGACACCCTGCTTCTCTGTCCCAGGGGCAGAATGCTGGCCATACTGTTTTCCATGAAGATGTCCCGGGTTGGGTATTCGTATCCGATGGCCTCAGCTCTGCGGTTCAAGTCCATCATGTTGGCACAGAAGAGGCTGATGTAGTCCTGGCTCTGCTGGAACAGCCCCTGTGTGCATCCCCTCTGGGGAGACAAACACCCAAAGACAAGGAGCTCAGTGCTACAGATAACAGATGCACGCCCTGTTATGGGAAAGTCTTGCAGATCGGAGACAGTCTTGCAAGCGGCTGTTTAGGGCAGGTCTTTTTCTCCTTTCTGCAGGAATTCTTCCCCATGCATACCCCCAGCCAGCTGGGGCTCCATCATCAGAGAAAACTGGGTTCAAGATTCAGCTCTGCCACTGAGGAGCTGTGTGATCTTGGTTTGCTAAAGTCATCTTTCAGAACCTCAGGAGTTTTTATTCTTTTTTTGAGACAGAGTCTTGCTCTGTTGCCCAGGCTAAAGTGCAGTGGTGTGATCTCAGCTCATCACAATCTCCACCACCCGGGTTCAAGCACTTCTCCTGCTTCAGCCTCCCAAGCAGCTAGGGCTGCAGGTGCGTGACACCACCACGCCCAACTAATTTTTGTATTTTTAGTGGAGACTAATTTTTGTATTTTCAGGACCCAATGTGAAGCCTGTGCCACTAGGAGGTGCTCCATGAACGATGGAGTGGGTAGGGGTGCGCTGCAGTCTACGACCGGACTGACCCCATGGGTGGCTTCAGTGCTACCCAAAGTGTGCACCAAGAAGGGGGCTGGCCGCTCCCCACGTGGGGAGAGAAGAGCAGGAGTTTACAGCAGGCTTCAGACCCTTCTGTTGTGGTGGTCAGAGTGACTTTCCACCTGTTGAGGCTAATGATCAAAAGAATTCCCTTGCAATATGGTTCTTCTTGTATTTACAAAAATAGTGGTCGGTCACAGCTTGCAAAGAAATAATAATTAGAAAATTCTGTTGAATAAAAACAGAGTGCCTCCTCAGCTAAGAACTTCTGGACACTGAATCACATTGTTTATTTAAGATAACCCTACATTTCTGCATAAAGAAATATATATATATATATATATTTTTCTTTATGTATAAATATATAAGAAACATATTTAATATATTCTTTATATTTATATTTATATATTCTTATATATAAACATACATGTTTATGCAGAAAGGTAAGGTTATCTTTATTTAAATATATATATATAATGTATATATATATGTATAAAATGTAGTGGTATGATCTCAGCTCACTGCAACCTCCGCCTCCCGGGTTCCAGCGATTCTCCTGCCTCAGCCTTCCCTAGTAGCTGGGATTGCAGGTGCGTGCTACCATGTCCTGCTAATTTACTTTTTAAAATTTTTAGTAGTGAAGTGGTTTCACCATGTTGGCCAGGCTGGTCTTGAACTCCTGGCCTCAAGTAATCCACCCGCCTTGGCCTCCCAAATGCTGGGGTTACAGGCATGAGCCGCGCGCCCGGCCGCCCCTTTTCCTTTCTCCTTCCCCTTTCCCTGGCGCAGTAGGGCTCCCTGGGCACTTACCATTCTGGCCCAGAGGAAGAAGAGCAGTTGGTGGGACAGGCAGTAGCCCGAGCAGCCAGGCTTGGTCATGAGGCTCCTGCAGTGGTCTGAGAGGCCACAGGGCTGGCTGCTGTCCATCCTGGGGGAAAGTGGTTTCAAGAGGTTACAGATGGAGCGCTGACCCGCCCTGAGTCTTCCCAGGTAGTGATGTGGCCCCTATTTGTAGCTGTTGGAACTCCTAGTAGATTCCAGACACCCAGCTGGGCATGGGGGTTGCCAGAGAAAATACAGCTGTCCTGCATCTTGATTTGCTAAATCTGGCTGCCCTAGCACAGGGGACATGACGCTGGAGCTATCCTGGGCTTGAGGAAGCCACCGAAGCTGAAACTTCCTACTGCTCCGTGGGGCCCCCAAATCACGTCTTTTCCAGCCCTAAACAGTGGGTACTTGAATCCAAACCACTTGGAATCTGGGCCCAACATGCTTATTTCTCCTGCACTGGCCAGGCATGGTGGTTCACGCCTGGAATTCTAGCTCTTTGGGAGTCTGAGGCAGGCAGGTCATCTGAGGTCAGGAGTTCGAGACCTGGCCAACACGGTGAAATCCCGCCTCCGAGGCAGGCACATTACCTGAGCTCAGGAGTTCAACACCAGCCTGGCCAACATGGTGAAACCCTGTCTCTACTAAACACACATAAATTAGCCGGGCGTGGTGGTGCGCACCTGTAATGCCACCTACTCTGGAGGCTGAGGTAGGAGAATCACCTGAACCTCGGAGGCATAGGTTGCAGTGAGCTGAGATCACACCACTGCACTCCAGCTTGGGAGACAGAGTGAGACTCCGTCTCAAAATTAAAAAAAAAAAAAAAAAGTATATATATATATGTATATATATACACACACACACAT